TCCACCCGGCTCGCCACCCTCGGTGTATCGATGCGCCGAAACCGCGCCAAAAAATGACCCACACGGACACGTGGAGCGAATTTTGCTCACCGGATTCGTTTTAAGGGCCCAGCAAGGTATGGTTATCGATTTGGTCGAAAAAATCCCGACCGCCAAAATCCCGATAGCTATAAGCCCGACAAGCCAAAATCAGGAAAATCAAAATACCGCCAGCCACGAAAATCCCGACAGCCAAAATCCCGACATGCAAATTAGCTTTTTTTAAAAGGAAACATATTCAAACTAGCGTCAGGAAAATGTCGGGATTTTGGCTTGTCTGTCGGGATTCTGAATTCGGGCTGTAATTTGTAAAAAATTTTAATCTTTATTCGCCATAGTTATCTCCAAAAAAATATTTGAAGAACTCGTGCGTTTTCGGTTTCCAAAAAAGTGTGCGGAAAAAACAGGCAAAATTGAGAGAAGGAAACACGGCCTTTTCCGAAACTGGCCGCTAGCAGAGGGGAGGATGTCAGAAGCGCCAAAGCAAAAGCGCCAATCACTAAAGCGCGCAGGCAGAAGCGCCAAACGAAAAGCGCCCAATGCCCAAAAGCGCCCAATGCCAAAAAGCGCCCAATGCCCAAAAGCGCCCAATGCCCAAAAGCGCTCTATGGGGAAAGCCAACGTATGGAGAGAGGAAACAATTACATAAAGTAGAGATAAAATAGTTGTTTTAATAGGTTTTCTGGTGTTATTATGGTAGTTTAGCGGCAGTTCGACCTACTAGGCCATAAATTACCGACTGGGTGAAGTTATTTTGGCCTCCTAGGGCCTTCTTTCACTCGAATAGCTAGTTCTCTTCTAAAGCAGCTTTTCCACTATTTTTGACGTAGTTTCTTGATCTCTACATGCTCGAACCGGTCCGAATATACATTTCTAATGTGAGAAAGGTATAAAGTCGCCGTGGAAAGGTTGTTTAGTGCCATTTTCGGATCCATTACCCGGAAATACGGCGTTTTTTCTCGTCGTTCTGGCCTCCAAACACTGTTTTATAACAAGTATTTCGTGCTTGCAACACTATTGTGACTGAAAACATCAGAAATCGTGAGAACATGAGGCAAACCCGGTAAAACTAGAGACTGAAACACGGCAATTCAAGCCAAAAAAGACCCAATAAGGCCAAAACAACCCGCTCGGGGTGATAATTTGCCGTCTACAAAGCCTACCTATCGCTAAACAACGTTTAAAAGGCATACAAAGCTTGAAAAAAAGCCATTTTATGTAATTGTTTCCTCTCTCCATACGTTGGCTTTCCCCATAGAGCGCTTTTGGGCATTGGGCGCTTTTGGGCATTGGGCGCTTTTGGCATTGGGCGCTTTTGGGCATTGGGCGCTTTTCGTTTGGCGCTTCTGCCTGCGCGCTTTAGTGATTGGCGCTTTTGCTTTGGCGCTTCTGACATCCTCCCTAGCAGAGATCAATTAGGAATAGGGAACAGACGCTGTAAACAGGACTTTCGCGGAGTGCACTTGGGTTTGCCGTAGGAGGCCCCCGCCTTATCAGGGCAACTAGCAGTGTTCGGTAACCTGATGTCGCGGGCTGGGGTCCGGAGGTCCTAAAGGGGAAAAGGGTCCGGAGGTCCTAGAAAAAGGGAAAATCGGCGGAAATGAGGGCGAAAATTTGAATTTGGCTCCAGGGGTACGGGTAAAAACGAGGTCTGAGGGAAAAGCAAGTAAAAGGCTAAAAATGAGAAAGTGCCGGATGGAAAGCGCTAGAAAAGAGAGAAGTGACTGGTAGATGGAAGGGGAGAAGGTATAGGCCCATTTGGAAGGAAGGAAGTGGAAAGAGGGCCATGATTGATGTGTAGCGATCGGCGACATCACCTAAACGGGACCGGATTTAGGCATGAAGCGGAGCATGGGACGATTTCATATTTGGTGAGCAGAAAGAGAAAGGGTTTTGCTATGAAATGAGGGGTCGATCATCCTGGTAGCTCTTGGGAGGGCAGAGCAATGGGGAAAAGGTGCGGAAAAACAGGCCAAATTTGGGGTGAAAAAGGGGCCCAAAACATAACCTCGGCGCGGTTTTTTCGATTTTTTGACCTGAAGAAGAGGTGATGGATGGATGCAATGTATAGAAGCGTTGTAGACTAGACTGCGGGCTACAGACTGGTGGAAAAATTTTGAGAAACGGTAGAATGACGGCTGAGATATGCGGTGTTGAAAAACGAAGGCAGAGGTTGCGTCGGGGAGCGATTTTCAGACGTCGCCACTTGGGAGGTCCTGGAACCACTTTAAATTTGGGTTTAATTTTAACGCCCAGGATATCATTCGACGCAGAATTTTCTGCTCTACATTTCGGTAATAGATATTAAAAGCTAATAGTGGCAGTAAAAAAAGTTAGAGGGGAAAAACTGCAAAATTGACCGTTTCTGAACACGGAGGTCCTAGGATCTCGAAAACGAGTCCGATGACCCACCTCCTTTTTTACGGATTATAATGTAGAAGGGTTTGGCACACATTTTTGTAATAGATTGCCTTTGAAGCGGGCGAAGGGATTTAGGAGAAAAAGGCGAAAAACTGGGAAAAAGTAAATTTTTTTTGGAAAATTGCTCGTAGCTCGAAATCGAGTCGGATGACCCACCTCCATTTTTTCGGATTTTGATGCAATCGTGTTAGGCGCACATTTCTGTAATACATTGCTTTTTAAACCGGCAACGGGATTTGGGAGTAAAATGCGAAAAACTGCGCAAAAACCGTCTTTCTCGCTCCCTATCTGTCTCTCTCTCTCTCTCTCTCTCTCTCTCTCTCTCTCTCTCTCTTCTCTGTCTCGCTCATCTCTCTCCGCTTTTCTCTCTCGCTCTCTATCTCTCTCTGTCTCTCTCGCTTTCTCTTCCTCTGGCTTGTTGATTTAGCATGCTGACACTGCTTGCTTTACTCACTGCTTTCTTTGGTCGTATAGTAGGTGTCGTACATATTTATTCAAATAAATGCGAATCTCCATATATTTATTGGTTTATCCAAGCCGGGGAGTTTGTCAGCTTCACATGGTAGATTCCTTCTTGCCGATGACACTGGCTTCATCCTGAAAAAATTTTTTTAGACCATATATATCAGGCAAAAAATTTTCGGCCCGCCGGGCCGGACGGAGGTCCATTTTTTGGTACAGGGACCCCGGAGGTCCTAGTGACGTCTCAACGACCACTTTCCGAACACTGGCAACTAGGAACCCGGCGGTGAAATCGGTGGCGGGAATTTCGGAGCGTCTACCGGGGATGCCGGACAGCTCAAAAATCAAATGCTTATGGGAAAAGCGGCTCTAGAAAATGTTTTAAACGTTCAGCTAAATTCTTGGAACAGTTGGAAGTGGGCAAAACAACATAATTCTCGCTTTCCTTGTCTCTTTAAAGGGTCAAAAATAGGGTGAAATTCTCAATAATAAAATTCGAAAAAATTTGCCTGAAAAGTTGCCCTATCGATGGTTGTTTGAGGGCAAAGCAAAAGGTCGTTGGCGGCGCGCGGCGCGGGCGGCGCTGGGAGGCGAGAGGTCGGCCAGTTCGACGAGACGGGACGAGACGCTCCGATGCAGACAGTCATCCGTCCACGGGAAAGGCGCGGACAAAAGCGATAGAGAAGGAAGGAAGGAAGAGGCGAGCGTCAGGGAATTCAGGCAGTCCCACACACCAACATACCGTCTGTCTGCTCTCAGCCAAAAGCCATGCCAAAAGGGCACGCCGCTTGGCAGGGGGAAACGAAATGGGGCGCAAGGAATTATTCTCGCATTGTCGAAATTTCATTTTTTCGAAAATTTTGTCGAAAATTAGAATGTAACAACACTAATTCGTCGAAATTCTATCCTATCCAATTCCGATTTGACGAAATTCCACTTTGTCTACATTTCGCTTTGTCGAGATCTCGTTTTGTGGAAAAGTTGAATGTCGAAATTCCGCTTTTTCTAATTTTCTATTGGTCGGCATTTGGTTCTATCTAAAACTAGATGTTAAAAATGTCACTTTTTCGAAAATTCTAAAGATATTCGTCGAAACCTAAAACGTGAAAATTCGGTTTTTTTGGAAAACTTGAAAGATAATTTTGTCGAAAATCAAGTGATTGAGGGCAAAACCTGATTGCAAAAACACGTTGCGCGCTTCGAGAGAAAATGTCGTCTTCCCACACATTGTACATCTTCTGCTGATCCTTGGCGACCTCTGCTACTACCTACTGCCTAATGAAGGCGCCTGAAATTGGATCACGCGTACACCCCCGTCCATTACCCGAATGCCCAACGATCCGTCACACGTACTCCATCGCCCAGTTCCGCGGAATTTGAATAAATTACCCGAAAAGTTCACCACCCTACGGCAAATCATCGCCAGCGAAAAACGTATAGCTAAGACACGGATCGAAGGAGTTGTTGCGCTCGCCTTGGCGCGGGCAGCAAAGCGAGTTCCATTCGCTATGCCGAATTTTGCGATGCCGTTTGACGCTGTGCCGATTTCCGCTATGCCGAATTTTCGCTATACCGAATTTTCACTATACCGAATTTCGCTCTCCGAAAGTTGGAAGGAAGCGCAAGCGCAACATCCCGAAAACCAGGCCTCGAAAGGTTAATCCGCGGTAAACGGAACCTATTATATCTAAGTCGATGCCGTATGCGTCCGTTGCGACGAGGCGAATGCTGTGCAGCGAACCGCTCTGTGATTTTTTTATTGAAGATGATGTGATTTTTTAGATAAGTGATAGCTTGTGATTCTTGAGACTTTTCATGAATTTTATGAATCCACCCACGTATATTTACCCAGAGGCTCCGATAAATTTTACAGTATTTCTTCCCGAAAGTTGCCACATGCCGTAAAAATAGACCTTGTAAATTGGCCGGATCTCCAAGGGCGCGCTTTTAGCCATTCTGATGCCAATACTTCTCTAAGGCGAATAAACGTTTATTTCGCAAAACATAATACCGGTATTTGCAAGATGGTCAAAATGTGAATGTACATCACAACGTTTTACCAGAAACCATACTCTTCAATAATCAATGTCCATACTGTCCTCGGGAATCGCCGTCACGTCGTGCTTGAGTTCGAGCTGGGTTGAGTCGTCGACCGATTGGCTGACCATTAGCTGCGTGTGTTCCTCGGTTCGCTTCCCGTCTCGCACCTAATAATTAAATGACACCATAGCCCAATCTGCAGTACCTGGGTGGCCATCTCGTAATACTGGTTCGGGTGGGTGATGAGGGTTCCGAGACCGCCGTCAGCCATTCCACGGGCGTACTCGAATTGCCGGGTGCAAGCCTTGTCGTAGCGGGCCCCCTTCACCAGGGTCATGATCTAAAATCAGGGTACAGCTATCCTTTATTCATCAATCTACGATTTAACAGTAATTTTACTAAACTAAGCAAAATTTCAAGTAGAAAACGAACTTTCAAAAAGCGTCTAAAGATTTGGCCTCGGTCTAAAATATCGATTTCCGCATTAAAAAAATTTTACAAAATTTTGACGTCTCGCCGGAAATACTAAAGAATTAGAAGCTACTTTGCGGTTTTATCACATAATCGAAAACATAGAGTTACATAGAAACACACCGTTTCAACCTGCTCCTGCGTCAACCCGGTGCTGATCAAGCGCGACTGGAGTCCCTTCGGATCGGTGTGTTTGTAGGGGCAACCTATAACAAGTAAAATTATTCACGAAACAAAACTAAACCGACCATGACAATCACCAGCACTGGGCGGCGCTCCCAAGATGATGGCTTGACAGGAAAGAGCCGGATAGTCTTTGCGTCGACCCTCCTTTCCGTATTGATGCCGAATATTGTACCCGTATTGTTTCTCGAACTGGAAGGAAAGAGATAAAAAAAGCTTTATTACTTTACCTTTTCTGCGTCGACCTTCTTCGTGAACTCCTCTCGCATAAAGGCCATGGCTTCGTCAAGCGGCAGACCGATTGCTTTCAGGAACAAGCCGTATTGCTAAAACCAAGAAATAAGCTGAATAAAAGCTCTAAAATACCTGACGGGCCCCGTGCTTGATGTGGTGGTCGGCGCGCAGTCGTTGGTGGATCGTTCGCATGCACAGCGGGAACTCTGCGGACAACTGAATAAAAATTTCATAAAAGTAAAAATCAAATTCGTACCGCATCAATCATGTGGCGCGTGATTCCGTTGGCATTGTCACCAGAATACTCCTTGCCGCTGTATGCCTAAAGCAAAATCTGGTACGCTAAATAAATCTCACGTTCTTTGAAATGCGCTCCAATAGGGGTAGAATTCGATCGGCCTCATCTTGTAGGTTTGGAAGATGTTTGTACAGTCTCTAAATGCAAAACCTTCGGATTTCTCAAACCAACAAACCGCCAATGAACCCGACAGCATTGTGCGGAAGATGCCAGTGACGATTATCTGAACAAAATTATGAAAATTTAGATCCTATTCGTTACCTGCAAATCATCGGCCGGTAAATAAGCGGTTCCAGCGCGCAATAGACATTTCCGCTTTCGAATCAAGTCGCTAGCTTCGGTGAATTTGATCTGACACGGCTTTTAAGACCACCTTCATACCAGATTACCTTCCAGAAATCGGTGCACTCAACCTGGCCAGGTATAAATGCACAAGCCGCCTCGAGCAGCTCGGATAGTTCTTGTCGTTCGGTGGAAGAAACCTAAAAGGGAAAAGTACGTTTCGCTTCCCAAGTACAATCGAGCTATCTCCAAAATCCTCACCGGTTCAACTTCAATCGAATTGTCACGCAGAAACTTCTTTGTGAGCTCTTTCGTTTCATTCTAGAAAAAGCTTTATCAAAAATATTTTTCTACCTTGAATCGGAACCTAAACAACTCCATCTCGCTATTGATCAGCCACTTGCGATCCTCAGGAGTCTTCGCAAAAGCCAACCTAAACAAACCCTAATAAATGGACCCTATAAAATTACCGCAGGATATAGTGGCCGATCAGATCCTTCTCCCGCCAATCACGTTGATCTTTCCGGTTCTGGAAAAATGAGGCTTGATTTACCTTTATGGTCCTCGCCCAAAAAGTGTTTTTCGGGTCGGAATCGATCTAGCAATGATCAAAATGTAGTATTCAGTAAAAAAAATGCACCGGAAAGAATTTTTTAAGGGCTAAAAAGACCTTTTTTGCTAAAATTCGGGGACCATAAAAGGGGGTACGGGGGTATGTCGTTAATGGTCCTAGGCTAAAATCCATTTTTGTTTGTCGGAAACAATCCAGAAATGTTCAAAATATCGTTTGCAGTTCAAAAAAAGCGCCGGAAAGACCTTTTTAGCTGCAAAAATTATTTTGGTACAAAAATTCATTCAGCCCAGTTTTAGCCTAAAAATAAGGCTTCGTGCCACCGGGGGCCTAGTCGCTTCGGATGGGTGCGAGCTTGTACAGTGTTTCGAAATCGGGGCGCCCGAGCAGCGCGAAGCGCCCAGGCGCTCCGATTTCGGAAGAGTGGAGCGGCAGCCCATCCGAAGCGACGGCCCGCCTTGCCTAACAATGCTACGTGCCGCACCTTGTTCAGAAGCCTTAGGCGACCACGAACATCTTTCCGGCACTTTTTTTCGAAGTATTATGAATTTCCAACAATTATCTATTGATTTGGTAAAAGAAAAAAAAACACTTTTCAGGTGAGGACCATAAACGACATACCCCCGTACCCCCTTTTATGGTCCTCGCATTTTTAGCAAAATAAGTCGTTTTAGCCATTAAATCCTTCTTTCCGGCGCATTTTTTTCACTGAATCTGACATTCTGAACATTTCGGGATTGTTTCCGACAAGAAAAAATGGATTTTAGCCGAGGACCATAAACGACATACCCCCGTACCCCCTTTTATGGTCCCCGAATTTTCGCAAAAAAGTTCTTTTTAGCCCTCAAAAACTTCTTTCCGGCGCATTTTTCTCACTGAAAACTACATTTTGATCATTTCTAGATCGATTCCGACCCGAAAAAACACTTTTCGGGCGAGGACCATAAAAGCAAATTTTCCCAAAATTACGATGCATCAACTAACAAGGAGTCGCTTTTAGGTGCTTTTGGAGTTTCGGGACGGGACCTAGCTAGTTCGATAGAGAAAAAAAATTCTGAGCAACATCCCGTTTTCAAAAAGTGCTGATCGATAAAGCTGTTTTAGAAAATTTAATTTAATTAAAAAAGTTCCCGGTACCCGGACCCTTGTGGTGATCTGAGGTGATTTGCGGCGGTCGATCGCCCCTGCCACATGAGGGCTTCACGCGCCTTGGATCTCGTCCTAGGCATGGCCAAGTGGCTAGTGCGATGGCCTACGAAGTTTTTTTGACCTTTTGCCACAAGTTCGATTCTTATTTATCGTTAACTTTTTGCTTTTTTGCTAATTAAAATTTTATGCACCGATAACGGGTTCAAGAAACAAAAAGCAAAGGGTTAGCCAGCGCGAGGATTTGAACCCGAGGCAAAAAATGTTTAAAAGTTGGTAGGCAAGCACGCTACCAATACGCCAATGCAACCTGTGATGGAGGCATTGGCGGAGGGTTACGAATGGCGCCCCGCCAAGCCCCGAAAACGACGTGAACCGGGGAAATGGACCCGAAAACTAGAAAAAAGCGTGAACTTTAAATTAAATTTTCTAAAGCACCTTTATCGATCAGCACTTTTTGAAAACGAGATGTTGCTCAGAATTTTTTCTCTATCGAACTAGCTAGGTCCCGTCCCGAAACTCCAAAAGCACCTAAAAGCGACTCCTTGTAAGAAAACGCTACCAGATGGTTCCATTCTCCGCGCCGCGCCGAAAAGCCGACCGGGAATTCCTTCGAAAGCAGACTCTCCATCTAAAGCGATCTCAAGAAATATGTCGGGGCCTCACCGCCTTGACGAACTCATCGCTGTAGACCTTGTGGCTCTCCTTGATATCGGTAATCGCCTTAAAAGCTACAGTTAGAAAGATGCTCTGGTTACCTTTAACAAATTGAATCGCTGTAGAGCTGTCGTTTCAAATTCTTCAAGACTGATGTCTGTTGTCGGGGGTTTCCGATAAAATTGAAGGTTGTATGGCTGTTCCTCTTGCACAGATACTTTGATCGCCTGAAAATTCAATAGAAAACCGCAAGTAAAATGCCTACCTCCCGCTCTGGCTTGATATCGACAGGGCCCGTTCTTCTTACTCTTCTGACTTCATTTCCAGCCCAGTTCATCTTGTGCTTTCCAAACTAAAACGTAGAATGTTATTGGAAAGTTTCACGAGAGCGCAAACTGCCGAGAATTCAAGATATTTAGTTCCGCGCCAACAAGGTACGGTCACACATCCATCAAAGAATAGGCAACCAACAGAGGCGGAGTGCAGACCAAAGCGGAAACGGGAAACTAGGTCACGGATACGGGGAAGAGGGCTGTCAAAATCCAAGTATGCCTCAACGAATCGAACATGTATATCACGCTAAAACTTATTACCTTGCTCGCCCTGACAATTGAACTAATATGTGAGTCAAAATACAGAGGCCTAGATTGTTCTGGTCGCGAAGATCCCTAACTTTTTAGGTTCAAAAGAGCTTCCTTTCCTAAACGCCATCGAGGTCCCGGGTGCGAAGGTGCCAATCATGAGGATGTTTGATAATTATGCAGCGCATTGTAAGAAAGAGGGGGAGCGAACATTGGGCATGAGTTCCCTGGCCCAGGTAAGAGAGCTAAAGCGAAAACCACCAGCGCGGGCCAGATTATGCATAGTCTGAATGCCGAAGCACTCGTCACAAAGATGCACGACAGCTTATTCTCGGCAATTGGCGACGTCGAGGTCAGGCGGCTCGAAGGAAGATGGTTCTCGGTAGACGATAAGGCCTTTCCCTAATTCCTTCCTTGCAGGTCGTCGATACCAGAGAGGTGCATGCTGAAGAATGTAGCACAACTGAAAGTAAGGATGACAATACATAAATCAGGGCGCTATGATCTATTTAGTTGAGATAATTGCTCAGAATGTCTTCACTTCTACCTTATCCCTAATCACCAAAGTATGGAACCCAGGTCATTAAGCAGAGCCACCTTATCCACCCACTTATAGGCCAGACCCCGACCACAAATACTGGAATCGGTCTTCAGATGGGACCGGAACCGGGAGAGCTGCTGCTCTCCACGGGCCACTCGATGGATAAATGCCCATGTTAGCCGATTTTAGAATTTCGCAACTCTCCTAGATGTCGTCGTAAAGACGTTCAATGCCAATCCTGGACAGCCTTACGACTTTATCGTGCTCTCACAACCGCTGAAATATCCGACGATTGTGCGTGGAGGCCAAAGAACATAAATCATTTTTAGGTTCTTGCACGGAGCACAGACCTCTTCCAAGAACACAAGAAGCAAGTCTACGATTTCCTCGAGAAAAACGGATACCTCAGTCCCATGGCCGCCCTCAATACGAGATTGCATTTTGTAAACGTATCAGCTTGCGATTTCGTCGAATAAATGGGGTTTTATACAATTTATAAAAACAAAAACGACAGCAACAAATGGGGCGCGAGCTTGCGTTGGATGTGGCCAGTGATGTAGATGTTCTTGACTGGAAGATGTTGTTGGATCCAAGCAGCTCGCTTCTTGAGACGACGGCTTACTTCTTTTGGGCCCTCCTCTTACGCTTCAGCCTGCGCATACGCTTCTTAGCCCACTGAAACGGAAAAATTAGACAGCGAACTTCAAAATCATGTTGTAGCTCTCAAGAAAGTTGTAAAAAATCGTTACCTTAGCGCGCATTTTCGAAGATTAAAGCCAAGTAGAGTTGAACGGCTTCGGCTTTACCAGCGAGCGAGTCGGGGACTGAAAAAACAAAATTAGAAACACGCCAAACATTTCTGAGAAGAGTTTGCGAAGACACAAAAATCAAGAGCGTGAGGGAAGACAGGAGAAGTCGTACAAAAATGGCAAGTGAGAGTGTTGTGATCTGCTCCGTTCGAAGAAAAGACCGATCGTAGCGGGCGAGATTGGGCAGGCGTTGCGGGACCCGGACAGGTCGCAGGGTACCGGCATTAGTAATCCTTTGGAAAGCCGTGAGGAAAATCTGCCGAAGATCCGCCAAAAATTCAACAGTAACAAAAAACAAAAATTCATTTTTATTAACTTTCAATGAGTTCCTGTGACTTCTATATATCAAATTTTTGAGGTATTGATTGGCTCCACACAGAGATGCCGCATCCTGAACGGTAAGCTTTCTCCCTGATTTTTAAAAAACTTTTTCAGGCATTACGCCGCCGACCCACGTTACCGAGATTCAAGAGACAACGAGGATCCACGTCTATATGACAGGTTTGCCGATTTTGTGTCATCACAGCTTCTGTACTTGTAGAGGCGACATCCGTAAACGATCAATTGCCGAGACGGAACAGCATGACCCGCGTGAAGGCACTTCCAAGGTTCGATTTCTCAAAAGGTTTTCGTTCCCCCGTTTTTGGAAGACAAAAACATCGTAATAATACCTTATTCAGCGTGAAAAACTCGAGCGCATCTCAACCGTCATCCAGATCAACGGGCTATACTTCAACACCGACCTCGATCGGGTAGAAATTCTCTTTACTCTTTTTATTCGTTTTTTTAGCTGAAATCGTCTTTGCGTGACTGGTGCCACTCACCGACCGTCCGCATCCAGACAGCCTATCGTCAAACAGGAGGTATGGCTGTTATTCAAACAGCACCATTTCGTTCTCCAAGCTCTCCCGGTTCAGCCTTGCGGTTATAGGCTGAGATCTATACGCCCATTATTGCACCATTGACGTTTATTACCTGTTCTTTTCGTTGTTTATCTTTTATGCCACGTTGTTTTCTGCGTTTTCGCCAAGAATCGTTATTTCCAGAGCGTGGTCCGCCTCGTATTATTGGTTACGCGGACATCGGCTCAGTGGACGCGGTTCGACGATGGATGAGCACCAGCAAGGTTGAGACTGGCAATACTTTACTTATTATTCGAAGGAGGCTGCATTTTTGCATTTAGGAATCGTTTTTCAAGTCTGGATTTTTTTGGGGTTGAATTTTGATGAATTTCCAGCCCTGAAAATGGGCTGGAAAATTATCGCTTGGGTGGTGTTAGACTATTCAAATTTCATGTTTTCTTGGTGTTTCGATGAATGCTTGCTTTTTGCAAGTGACCAGGTTGCAAGGGCTAGACGGTTAGCTTTTTAGCCCTTGCTCGATGGCAAGGATACCACAATTCTTGAACGTGTTTTTCCTACCGGGCTAATAACCGCAAAATGCTGGACGTCTTGGCAGAACGAGCTGGCCAACGCCAACTCGTACGCCACGGGCCTTATATCTTTACATTTTTGGCCCAGTATATTCCATATTTCAGGGAGAAATCCGCTGGTACGATGGCTCCGTCTTCCAATGTGAAACGCTCAAGCCCTTTTCGGACAGTGCTACTTGGACTTGCGCATTGGTACTTTTTTCGATTTTTTGCTTACCTATCATTTCTAGTGTTCGTCGATCGTCTCCAGCTCTCAGGATGCGTGCCTGAAATGTTCGACGATTCGCCTCGAGAGCGAAAATCTTCATATGCTCGGACTGCCGCTGGTTGGGACGGTTCCAACTGACAGTACGGTTTTTTCCTATGGTCATAGAAATTTATTTTGCAGCCCTTCTTCTGCGAGATCTTCCGAAGGGCATCACTGGGCAAAGGATCGCCGACTCGCTGTCTCGCGTGGCCTCTCTCGTCCCGATCACCCACATCCATTTGGCCAAGAGCAAGAAATTTGCCTTTGTTCAATTGAGGTCTTTTTGCGTTACGTTAGCTCAACTGTATTTAGGGAAATATCGCATGCGGAGATGCTGTTAGAGTGTTTTAAGCAAGCTCCACTGGTGATAGATAGCCGAACGAGTGAGTGAATCTTCTCGTTTTTGCTTAACTGACTTTTTTCAGTCTGCATTGCATTCTGCAGTCAATCCTATCCGGAATGGAAGGCCGCGCAGGAGAATGTGACACAGCCAGTGGCTGCAAGCGATACGTGGAGGACGCCGGCAAACGAACCCAGGCCGCCGGGTCCTGCACCAGGTGGCAACTTTAGTTTGTATGCAAATTTTTGTTTTAGCTGTTCCGTCTGCGCTCCCCGCTTATTCTACTCCAACGAACGTCCAGCGGCCTCCGTCCGTCATCAGCCCGTTGCTACATGGAGGTAATAGTTTTTTTTCGCTGCCGATGCAAGCGCTTCTCATAGTGCCTCGCTTCGACCCTTCGCAGCCTCCTCCTTGCTTCCTCCCCATGCCCGACCTCTCGCGCCCACCTCCAATGATCTTCAACGCTCCGAACGTGGCCATGGCTCCGCCTACGATCTCGCCGGGAATTGTTGGAGGTATGAATTTGGATCTTTTGCATTATCGGGGGCCTCGACTCCAAAAAAGCTTATTAGCCCTATAGTAAGCATTTTAGCAGTGTTTTTCCTAAAATCGAACCATCTTTCAAGGGAAAAAGCTTTACTGGAATCCTACTATATATAATTTTTATTTTTATTTTATTTTATTTATTTTTATAATTTTAAAAAAGACCGCTTCTCGTCTCTCTCTCGTCAAAAAATCTATATTTTTTGTATTTTTTAAATGGAAAAAAATTTGAAAGGGTTTTACGTCTAGGATAGTAAACACGGTCAAGTGACACTGTCTCTATTCTATGCGAAAAATTGGGTCCTTAGTAAAAGCTGGAACCTCCCCCCGTTAATACAAAAGAACAATGAATTTTTGCGACCATACAATACGCCTCAATTTAGCCGTGCCACAGTCACCGATGATAATGGGACAGCCTCTTCATCAAGCCCCTCCATTCCCGCAGCAAGTTGCGCCCTTCACCCAACAAGCTCCGTACTTGTCCGCGCCGATCCATCCGCATCTAGCCGCCGTGCCGCCGCACACTCTGTCGCAACAGACGTCTGCTCCACCCGGATTCACGACCACGCAGCCCCAACCTCACCCAACTATCAACTACGCTGTGCCGCCTCCCCAAACTAGCCAGCCACCGCCAGAGGGTCCACCAGCCGGCGGGGTTATCGGGCAGGTCACCACGCCGCATGGAACTTTCCCAAAATATGGTGAGTTTGGTGCTGTAGCTGTGTTTTTTACTGCGGATTGCTTTAAGTCTAGGCTTTTCTGGTTGAGCGGGCGGCGGCAGCTAGCTTTCCTTTTCACCTCTGCATCAGGGTTCGATCATGTGGGCCAGGATTCCCATGACCACCTCCAGGTCGGCCGACCACCTCCAGTTTGGCCGCGAAGCGGCGAAAAAATGTTTCGATGCTTTTTGCACCTAGGGATCCGCGGGTTAATACCGCCCGCTGTTTGAATCGATTAAGCCAACCCCGAGCCAAATTATATGTCTATTTCGGCTCAAATTCACCGTTTTTTTCCTTCCTGAAAATCTATCTAATAAACAATATTTTTATGTAGTAGATCAAAATGTTGGCATAAAGCGTCTCTATCACATGTCAAAAGTTTAAAACCGCATCTTAATATTTTGACAACCTCCAGGCCCATTATCGACTGATTTTGGCCGAAAAGTGCCATTTTTGGATTACCAAAAATTCCGTTTAAGGAAAATATTTTTGTATTGTACATCAAAATGTCGGCATTAACGATGGTTACAACATATAAAAAATTCAAAACGATTACTTATTATTTTGACAACCTCCAGGCACTTTATATGCTAATTTTGAGCAAAAAATGCGGTTTTTCGGTTTCGACAAAATCGCCCTATAGAAAATATTTTTGTATTGTACGTCAAAATGTCGGCATTCAGAGCCTCTATAACATATCAAAAGTTCCCAACGACATCTTATTATTTTGACAACCTCCAGGCCCTTTTGCCAGTTAACCCAACGCTGGATTTTCCGGGCCCCTGAAAAAAAGCAAACCTGGAGGTCATATCTAAAATCTTCCTGAGATCGATTTTCCCGAAACTAAAGGCTGCCATCTATAGCCAAGTATACGATCTTATTTGGGTGAAATTTTTAACCCGATCGGTTCAGTAGTTTTCGAGAAATCCCACTTCGAAAAAAAAGTTATGGGAAAACGCATGGGAGGCCATTTTAAAGAAACGATTTTTACTCAAAAACTTTATATTAGCGTCCCAAATCTTTTTTACTCCTCTTATCTCCTAGGTTCTTCCGCATCCATTGCCATCTTGCGTTTTTCCTTGCCGCGTCTATCAACCGAGATAACCTCATGGGAAGCATGGGTTTTTAATGGGAAAATCTACCTGGCTGCCAAAATACCTATTTCCCCCCGGTGTTTGACCCGATTCTGCATTTTAACCTTTACAGAGGCCTTCCTGATCCATTCTCTAGCGATTCCGATCGATATTTTTCAAAAAGCAAAAAATTTGTCGCGGCGGGGATTCGAGCCAGGGACCCTTGACTCGTCAGTTTCTACTTACCCCCCCGGACCCATTCTGCATTTTAAACCTTCCCGATGGCTTCCCGATGGATTCTCCCGTAATTCCGTTCTATATTTTCCAAAAAGCAAAAAAAGGTTGCGGCGGGGATTCGAACCCGGGAGCCCTGACTCGTTGCCTTCTTCAATGATTTCGTACAGCAGAGTCGATTACTGGCCGCGTAGCGGGCGCAAAATTTTTTAGGCTTTTTTGACCACCTCCAGGCTGGTTGACCACCTCCGGGCGGCCGACCAAATTTTTTCCCATGCTAATCGAGCCCTGCTCTGCATACTCGCGTTTTTTCAGTTCGTGACGGCTAGTAGATCATCAAAAAAAACGTTTTAAAAGTCTTTGTAATATTTGCAAATTCTGACCTCTTTTATTTCTTTTTTAGAGATTTTTTCCAAAGAGCCGATTTTTGTAATTTCCGATGAACTGAATGAAACTAAATCTGAAATGTTTATCTTTTTTTATTTAGTCACCCCGGATCCCACCAAATTCGTCGACGAACCGAAGAGCGGCTACAAAATCGACCCGGCCACGCTGTTCTACTACGACGTGGTCAGCCAAAACTACTACGTGAGCGCGCTGAAGAAATGGTGCTACTGGGACGCTCAACATTCCACGTATTTGCCAACCGAAACCAAGGTAAATTTTAACGAAATTTGTTGACCCCGAATTTAGTCTGCGGTTCAAAATTCCGTGTCCGAGGCACCCACGCAAGCAGCGGCCGCTCCTGGGGAGATTCCGGCGGAAATCAGAAATCCTGCACCCGACCGAGCCGCAGAAGCCCCAGGCGCCAAATATGTTGGCGATCGCAATACGGAAGCCTCTTACCTTCAACAAATGCGCGAGCGTCCTACAGAGCCCCCTGCTGCCCAGTCAGCCGAGCCACAGGTTCTTGAATTTACAGAAGTTTTTAGATCTAAATTTTCCAGAAAAGTGCTGAGGAGATAACCAAGGAGATGCAGCGTTGGGCCAGGAAGCAGGAAAAGGAACGAGCAAAGGTAGAATTTTTAGATAATCTCAATTTTTTTTGCTTTAGATAAGCATTACGCTGACGAAAAAGCCGGATCCGGCTGGCAATAACAAGGTGGCAACGAATGGGCGTAATAGCGACGTTGGGGCAAAGATTCTGGAAAAGATGCAGGTCGTTATACCCTACTAAATCTTTATCTTTGTCTTAGAACCCGTTGAAGCACCCGGATCTGGACAGTAGTGACGAGGAAGAGGCGTTGCCGGCGCCTGTAGCTTCTCAGCTGTCTGCTGCAAAGGTATGGCTTACAGACTTCTTTTTCTAATTTAATTTCATTTAGACGGCCTCCGTCGATGAACCGCCACCTTCTAATACATTGACCGCCCAGATGGCACGTGAACTTATGGAAAGGGGCCTTGTCGACCGCGAATCAAAAGTAAGATTGCAATATCTTTTTTTTGTGAAAAGCAATCATCTTTAGACGTGCCAACTGTGCCATCGCGCCTTCACAACGGTTGAGGTCCTGGATAAGCACGTCGAGCGTTCCGAGCTTCATCGCGCCAACTTGGAGGAGAAGCGCCGGGAATGGAGCCGGGACTATGTTCGCAGCATGATGGACGCCTCGGATGGACAGTAGCCGGCTACGAGGCTGCTCGACCAAGCCCAACTCATTAAGTTTTATGAAATAGCTTTTGTTTGGTTTACCAGTGCACGGGTTTACGAATAAAGTACTTGTTTTATTGGCGGCAATGAAAAAAATACGTCTGCATCGCAATGGCATGGAATTCCAGGGATTTCGCTCGATCGTCAGTTGACTGAGACTAATGATAGTTAAAGGAGATTTTCCCGCGACACGCAACGCGTGCGCCCGCCTCTTATTGCATAATACCGAATTCTTTCGGGAAGCTGAAGCCAACTAAACCTATTGTGCTGACTTACCTGTCTCTTTAAAGCGCATTTTCAGGATTTGTTCCGTATACACCTATCGACGTCTGCGTAGCGCTTTGTGTAGAGGCGTATCGTATACGTAGCCAAGGCAGGCGGATCTGAAGGTGCGCTTTAAAGGGATAAGGACAGCCTGAGAGGGGTGGGGTGGTTAGATCATTACCCTCGTTTATGCCGTCATCATTCCCTTAGCAAGGACGTTTTGGGCTCAATTTTAGCACAGCGATTTGCAAAAAAAAAACGATAAAATTCTGGTACGTTTGGCTTTATATTTAATTCACTGCCATTCAGCTGAAATGGCGATACCCCCTCCGAAACCAGCCGTTTCCTCAGATTGATCCATAGGGTGCCCCACCCGTGAATGGGTTCTTGATGGGACCGAGCGCGAGAGAGGAGAATAGAGCGCGGATTTGCGTGTGTGTCTCTGCTGGCAGAAGAGTCCAGGGGGGGTCGCGCCTGCTGGTCCATCTCACTCATCCTGTCCATCTCAGGGCCTTTTGGCCAATTGAATGGGCAATGGGAAGAAGAAGGGGTGGCTGGGGTGCAGATGTGCGCATGCCCACCCGTGAGATGTGCATGCCCGATCGGGGTGCGTGAGCGGGGTGGCACGGCCTAACATAAGCCCCTGCCCATCAATTCGAGCAGAGCTAGCTGCCCCGTCTGTCTGCTATGCCCACAGCGCTTTGCCCCTTAAAGGCGATCGGCCCATGCCTCTTGCCCTCCCCGCCTTGACCAACACCATCATCGATCTCGTGGCTGGCCGAACTGTGCGTCTCGGCACAGCCGATGAATGAATCGCGGCCCCGGTCTCCCAGCGCTTTCTGCTCTCCGCCCCCGGGCCCGGCCAGTTCAAATACCATTTCCCGGCTGTACGGTTTTGTGGGGGGGCGAGGTATTAGGGAATAGCCTGGCTCGAAAAGCCGACATCATCCGTGACGCTTTTAGGAAATTTCCGGAATTTTAGTCCCTTCTATGAAGCGACGGCTTTGCGGTGGCGATCTAGCTAGCTAGCTGGCATTTACCATACCCCTGGTTTAGAATTTTGGGCTTATAAAGAGTGCTTTTTTCGGGGCATCCAACCGGAAATGGTTCGAGAAATAGCGCATTCGATAGAGAAAGAGAGAGGGGGGTCTGAATAAGGCACGCTCGTTCATCTTTGCAAAATGGCCATGCCCGATTTTATAGAGTTAAAGAACTACTAAAATTAGGGGGATGCCCTGACGTAGTCTGAAGCGGTCATTTTTCCTATAAATATTTTTTGATGTTTTCTGGACGTTTATTTTTTGGCCTACCGGAGAAACACGTCTAGCCGTCTAAGCTCCTGCTATAGGACTGGCGAGTAGGCTGATTTTAATAAACAAATTATTTAGTAAAAATGAAAAATTACGATTTTAATAAAATTAAAAATTACGGCTCCATTTTTAATCTGCCGAAGGCAGCTCGCTAGCTATTTTTAAGTGTGTATACTCGCCTCGTGTATACTCGCCTCGTTTCCCCTTCCTTCAAGCCTTCTGTCCTCTCCTCTTCCCTCTATCCATCGGCTCCATGGCCCACCACAGTTACGCCATGGAAATCAAAATTGAGCGTTTCAATTGAAATTTTAATTTAGTTTCTTTTCGCCCTTCTACTTGGATATGTAAGAAGATGATACCTAAATGGTAATTTAGATGACGCTCACATTTAACGAGGTACTGCTCCAGTTTGCGGCCGCGGCACAAAAAGCTGAGAACAGCCAAGCTAAACATGAGGAGGATGACGTGAGTTCGCAAATTCAACATTGGTTGATCGATGAATCCAAAAAACCAATCGAAACCAAAAACCAAATCCAAAAATACAAAAAGAAATTATAGGGAAACGGATCAGACGCCTCTTCTTATCCCCCAGAATTGAATGGTCATGACGTTTCCGGCGGTGGTAAGTTAAATATTAGAACCCGAAATTGTTATCGTTTAGCCGTCAGCGACGATGATATGAAGCCCGAACTCGGGAAGATGAAGCCGAGGCGTCGATATAAGGGAAAGAAGGTAGGCACAGATCATGGCAACCAAAAGCATTTTTCAGAGATCGAGCACCGGACGCTCCTGGGTGAAACTGGAGGATGAACATGCGCCGAGGCGACCCCGATCCGCTTATGTATTGTTTCTCAGGTAGGCGAGTGCTGTAAATTTTATCCTGTTCTCAGTACCAATCGCAGCAAATACGGATCTGCTAAAGAGGGGCCCGTCAACCAGTCGAATATTAATGTCGCCTTGGCGAGTGAATGGCAGAAACTTGTAGAGGCTGATCGGCAGGTAAGTGGCTGAAAAAAGGGTTTTTCCGGGGTTTGAAGCCTTTTTTAGCTATTTTCATTCTACTTATTCTACTAGTTTTCTTAGATTTTCAGCGATTCGGATCGTAATTTTGTTCTATTTTTCAGGTATACATCGATCGGGCCAACGAAGAACGTGCGCAATACGATCGCGAAATGTCGACCTACAAGGACACGCCAGAATACCACGAATTTTCATGTGAGTTTTAGTTCGTTTTACCTCTAATCCTCTTTTTTTAGTGAAAAAGGCGGTGATCATGAAGCAGCGCAAACTCTACCGCCAAGGTGGTCTACCAATGGAACAGGTATTTTTCCTAATTGTAAGAAGTAATTGAAAATGGCGTTTTTATTTTAGTTACAAAAGAGTGAGGAGGCTATTATGAGAATGGGCATCCCCGAGCTGGAGCAGCTGCAGTCGGCCCTCAAGGTTTCCGGAAGAAATGTCAAGAATTCTAATGTAAGCCATTAATCTTGATTCTTCAAAAACATTCAGACTGCCACCCTGGATATGTCCACGACGCCGATGGTCAACGAGATACCGATATTTTCGGAAGCCTTTTTGAACTACAACAGGAGTGAGTCGTTTTAGCTATTTATTTTTATCTTGTTTACAGATCGTGAAGCCGAACTGCGCGCCATTCGACGCACCAACCGTGTCGCCGAAGATGAAAATCGTGAACTGCAAGAGGCCATCGCTCGGCTCCGTCCTCATTCGGAAATTGCAGGTACAGCTTCATTTTCCAGTTTTTTTTGTAAATGTTTTTTAGAACAAGCTGCCGCGGTGAAACAGCACTTTGACAACATGGTGAGCGCTGCGGGCGCCGCTCTGGCTGCAGCCGCATTTGCCCGGCCCGCCTCGCAAAACAATATCATCAACATAATCAACCAGGTAAGATTATTTATCGCGTACCGCTCAAAATATTTGATTTTCTACACGAAATTTTGATATTTTGGTATAGTCGAAGCTTCAATATTCCGAATTTTTCACTAGCAAATCTCCCAGAAATTCTGAAGAAAAACTACATTAGCATTGACAGGAATTTCGACACTTAGAAAATCACCTAACTAGGGAAGTGCAAATAAAAAACCCAGCAAACCGCTTAGCAAAAATATGGGTCTGATAGAGTCGGCGAGGGTCCGAAACTGCATCAGAATTTGCTAAACGCTTACATACAATAGTTATGAGCATTTTAATTTTTGCACACATTATCCGCCCTCCCTTATGAGCCCCACCCAAAGATGGGTGTCCGCCTGTCGAGTGGTGTAGTGGCTAACTAGTATGTATGCCTCTGGGGCGGAGGGTCTCTGGTTCGACTCCCCGGTCATGCAAACCTTTTTGCTTTTTGGCCAAAGTCAACAAGTTTAGACTTTTTCAAAGTCTCGAAGTCCGAAATTTAGATTTTTTTAAAATTTTCTTTATTATTGACTGCGTGTAGGCCTGCCTTACGAAAAAATAGAAGTGAATTTTTTTAGTGCCCTATCCGCAAGAGTACTGACACTCCCGCCACCACTTTGCATCAATTTCATAAATTTAAAAATTAAGAGAACGACCTTTTCGACTTCGAAACTTTGAAAAAGTCTAAAGTTGTTGACCTTGACCAAAAAGCAAAAAGTTTTGCATGACCGGGGAGTCGAACCAGAGACCATCCGCCCCAGAAGCATGCTAGTTAGCCACTACACCACTCGACAGGCGGACACCCATCTTTGGGAGGGGCTCATAAGGGAGGGCGGAGAATGTAGTGCAAAACTGAAAAAGCTCATAACTATTTTGTATTAAGCGTTTAGCAAATTCTGATTGCAGTTTCGGCATGCCCGTCGCCGACTCTATCAGACCCATATTTTTGCTAAGCGGTTTGCTGGATTTTTTATTTGCACTTCCCTAGTAAGCGTTTTGTTACAGGCAGCCAGAGCCCCCTCCACCGATCCACTGGTCGTGCTCGTCAAGGAAGCCCTGAGCAACGTCGACTGGGCCAACATCGCATGAAAATTTCCCTTTTGAACTTCGTTAATTCCACTCGATCTACAGGTTGCACTCTGGGGTCGCCCCATTAATGTCATGATACTCAAACGAGCATTCTCTTGTCCTTTTGCAGCTTTACCGCGTGACCCATTTTCCGGACTTTTAAAGTCGATTTCCTTGCCCCCGTTTCTAAATTTTGCTCATCACCAATTTCACTTCAAATGCTCCGAAGCGCACTTCTCTGCTTCGGGATTACTCGTCGTTTAATTCGCAATAAATTGTTTACTGGAAGAATTTTACCTGCAATAGTTTTGTTGTCAGACAAGCATGAATACATAAACATAAAATGACATGTAATCGTTGTCAGCGGCGAAAATTGGGTTTTTCTGGGAAAGCTTTTGATTTTTAGATGGATACCGTCTCTCCAGCTTCACTAGATGAGCGACTTTACTCGGTTAGGCGGCTTTGCGATCAGCCATCTGAATTTGCTCCCGAATTTTTCACGCCGGGCCCGGAGGTTGGTTTTCTATAAACCGTCGTTATTCTGCTTTTTTCAGAACCTCGAATGCATTCGACAAGCAAAAATCCTAGTGATTGGTGCGGGTGGACTCGGCTGTGAATTGCTCAAAGACCTGGTTGGCGTTGTTTCTAGCTTGAAAACCTAGCTTTAGGCCCTCTCCGGCTTTGCCCATATTGAAGTCATCGACATGGACACCATCGACGTCTCAAATCTGAATCGCCAATTCCTGTTCAGGTATCCGTTTTTCTTGTCTATAGCTGCTGGTTTTCTAGGGAAGCCGATGTAGGCAAGCCGAAAGCGGAAGTCGCTGCGGCATTTGTATCCCGAAGGGTGCCCACTTGCAGAGTTATTCCGTAAGCTATTTTTGCGCTACAAAACTTGTTTTCTAGCCATCATTGCCCAATCGAATCGAAGGGCCCTGCCTTCTACAAAAGCTTCAATATTGTTGTTTGCGGGTTGGACTCGATAAAAGCGCGCAGATGGATCAATTCTATGCTTGTGAGTATAGGATGTCTAAATTTCAAGCTTTGTTTTTTAGTGCGACCTGGTTCACACCGATTCTGATGGCGAGATTGATCCGGGCACGATTATCCCGATGGTTGATGGCGGCACGGAGGGCTTCAAGGTTTTTAACGCAATTTTAAGTTCTAAATGTTTTTCAGGGAAACGTTCGTGTGATCTACCCAAAGATGAGTGCATGCGTCGAATGTTTATTGGATTTGTATCCGCCACAGGTCCAGCGAATTTTTCTAATTTTAATTTTCGGTTATTGCAGATAAATTTCCCTATGTGCACCATTGCGCACACGCCGCGCTTGCCCGAGCACTGTGTTGAATACGTGAAAGTCGTAGAATGGCCGAAAGCCCACACGGATGGTAAATTTTTGTGTTTGGCTGATTTCCTATTTTTAGGCGAATCGCTCGACGCCGACAAGCCAGAACACGTTGAGTGGGTGCTGAAAAGGGCGCAACAGCGAGCCGAAAATTATAAAATCAGTGGTAAGCCGAAACCACAGTTCGAACCCTGTTTTAAGGTGTCGACTACAGGCTATGCCTGGGCGTGCTGAAGCGGATCATTCCGGCGGTGGCTTCGACAAATGCTGTCGTTGCTGGTAAATTCTAGCGTGAGAAAAATTATTTTCGTTTCATTTTAGCATCGTGCACCCTGGAAGTGTTGAAGCTGACGTCAAAGTACGTATTCGGAACTTTTACTTTTATTGTTTTAGTGCCGCCTTCCCGCTCAACAACTACCTCAACTTTTCCCAGACTGAAGGCGTCCACTTTGGCGTCGTGGAACTCGAACGAAGCGTGAGTTTTTTTCAACCTTTTCCATCTTTTTATTTAGATAAACTGCATTGCCTGTGGTAACAACACGGTACAATTCTCCGCCGATCCCGCCGAAACGTTTGAAGAATTTTTGGAGAAGCTGAAGGAAAAATAGTAGGTGCTCTTTCTCATTAAAAAATCCCTTCTTTAGTCAACTATCTGCGCCGGACGTCCGAATCGGTTCTGACAAAGCCTTGTACGTCATCTCGGACCTGTTTCCGGATTTGCTGGAGAGCAGCCAGAAGAATTTGTTGCGGAAAACAGCAGGTTGGCGTTTCACTCAAGCCTTGATTTTGTCTTGATTTCAGAGCTTTTCGACGAGGCTTCCGAGTTGCTCGTCTCCGACCCGACCCTCACCCGTGCTCTTTCAATTAGGATCGAATATGCAAAGTGATTTATTTGTGGGTATCACATTGTTTTTACGGGAAAGTTATAAAAATTTATCTAAAGCGTCGAACCCTATATTTTTTTCACAATCGGAGTGCATAGAAAGTTGGATAGCCTCATCAAAAGTTTTGGTTTTGTAATGCCGCCAAAATTGCTGCGGTATCTTCGCCTCACATATCGAAAATGGCGACGAAAAAGTTGTCATCCTTGTAGAATGGCTGTTCCGAGCACAGAAAGGCGGCCAAAAAGTCTGAAACAACGTGCTCCATACCTTTGGACCTTTTTGGTTGTCATTTTAAAGAGTTAGAAAGAGAGAGGTTTTGCGCTTACGTTTGCCGTAAGCTTGAATACGGTAGAACCGTGCAGTGGTGAGGGCTTTATCGATCTGAAAATAGGATTTTGGTTTTGGAAGGCTCGTCCCCACCGATAGTCGTTCGACAAGCCATGCATCAATGCTTTTGCTATCCACAGCCGCTTCATCCAGCAATTCCATCTGACCATCATGAACACGTTCGAGTCGTCGATTGAATTGTTGCTGTAAAAAATGCCGATATGATTAAATCTTTCCTTAACGCCCCTATCCCGAAATCAGCGACCCAAAATCTGTAGCCAGTACTGGAATAATCTATTCATTTTGAAATCATGTCTACAACACTTACTGTAAAGAATGTCATATCAAAGTTTTGCTGGTTATTTTTCCCAGAAATCCGGAGCATCTGCCCACGCCGTGATGCCCGCAGCGGACAAAGGGAAATCTGAAAAAGCTTGTTTCGCTGGCGAACTGGAAATTAGCGGAAATACGGATACCTTTTTAAAGATGTTTTCTAAATGAAAGTGTTTAAAATCCTACATCGGACAGATTTGCGACAGCATTGGCGCTGAAATCGTGGATGTCCGGAAACCCGATTTCCGGAAGCTGTCTCGAGTGTTTCGCTTCGCACCACGTCGCCCACGTTCCTTCGCACAGCTGGCAGCTCCAGGGTGCTTCATTGCCATAACGCTAGGGTCAAACCGATCGGTATTTTTCGTTGTAATTTTCAAAAAGCCGAATTCGGCCTAATTCCAGCTATCAAATCTCTTACTCTTCTCTTAGTTATAAAAATCGGCAAAAGCGTCTGTTCAATAATGCCATTGGCAATGGTCTAAAAATGCTTACACTGATGCATTGCGCGCAACGAAGACGATCATCACGAAGACGCTAAATACAGTTTTACGTTGTTCGGATCACAGGCGTGAATGGAGACTTCTAAAAGGCCGTCCGCGAGCCCCACCCCCTAAATAAAACCCAATATTTCTTGCAGTTTTGTATTACCACCTCTTTTGTCGGAAATTAATAAAATTGTTTTTTTAGGTAAATTGTCAAAGGTTTTTTAAGTTTCTTTTTTAGACTAGCAAACTTGCCATTGAAAATCACTGACCTTGACCAATTTCTGGTTACGGCCCCTCTGATCATACTGAAATAAAATTATACTAAGTATAAAGCACAGCACTCACCCTTCCCAACTCTAACTCGCCCGTTCCATTTGGGTAGGCTTTTTGGATCTTCCGAAATAATTCGAAATTCGAGATGTTCTTCCCAAAAACCAGCCACAGCTTCGCCGGGTGTTCGATCCAACGCAGGAATGGGCTTGCCTAAAGGTTTCGTCATACAAAAGCTGTGCGCACAATTTTGCGCGGAAATAAGAATTCTAGAAATCGTTTCGGGTTCTTTCGCATTATCGGGGGGGCTAAAGGGGCACTGTTAGGAGCCAATTTTTTAGATATAAATGATGGAAGGGCTTCTAGATTGTTTTTTTACTACTACTAAGCGTAAAAACTTATAAATTTTTATTAAACGCTTCTAATTATTTTAACGCTATTAAAACCTTTAAAAGTATCGAGTTTTCGACTAAAAATGGCCGTTTTTGTTCAAAATTTCGACTTTGGAAATGTTTTTTTGATGGTTTTTAGATAGTGGTCTAGTTTAAATACAGTTTATTTTACTAAAAACAGTATTAAAATACTCCATATTAAGTTACGAAACATTTCTGGAAATTTTGGTCCCCTGATAAGGCGAAAGAACCATCCTTTTGTTCCACAATCAAGATGTTATCAAAAACCCACGTCAAATGCCATGCTCCTCAAGCGCTTCTTCCCAGGTTTAAACGAACTTTCACATAACTAAATGTAGAGACTTATAGAAACTAAAAGATATAACTTTTAATGTCCTAAAATTTCGAATAAAACAGGTTGCCAAATTCACACCTGTTTTAGCCGATAATCGAACCGCAATCCTACGTGTTCGCGGACCGTCGCGCGGGATTTTGACACCATTTTGAGGAGGTGGTCGTTTCGACAGTGAATTACTCTAGAAAAAACGTAGCAATGAAGTGAAAAACTGTGTTATTAACAATTTTTATAACCCAAAAACCGCCGCGTCGATCGCGCTGCGAGTCCGAGTTTTGATCTAGGGCCCGATACAAATCTGGGACATTTTTTAGGGCGTTCAATGCTAAAACGGGTAAAATGTAGCGCAATGTTAAATAAATCCACTTAAACTTTGGTATACAGATATACTTGGACTTGTTAATGTTAAATAAACTTGCCTCTCTGCCCCAAGTGGGTCCCGTACCCGGAACTCGTCGACTATGCTTGCAACGTTCAGCTCCCACCCATCCAAATCATAGGCGATCAGTCCCATCATGTGTACCCACAACTAAATTGGATAGAAACATGAGGTAGCTCTACGTGATAAGCTACATCATACTCATTTTTCCAGAACCCAACGCTACCTTATCATCATCATCCGGATCAATATCCAGTACCCCCGGTCTTGGAGTGCAGGCATTGAGGACCACATTCTTCATCTTTCGCGGAAATAAGCCTCTTTTATTGATCAGGATCCTGAATTTAGATTTTTTCATGGGCTGGGAAGGCCGGGTTTTCCTTACGCAACCTTTCCTTCTGTCAGCTAGCTAACTCGTAAAGAATTAAGTTCAGCTTTTTACAGGATTTTCCCAGGATCTTTGTGCAAAATTCTCTTCTGTGGGTATTTTACCTGAACGCCTTGTTGATGCGCTGCAAGCTGAGCAACTCGCGGAAGCCCATTTGATTAACGACGGAGGCGAGGAGCACATCTGGGAGTTGGCCAGCAGAAAACATTGGTCGTTGTTTCCGATAGCAAAAAGCTTCTTTACTTTTGAGCAAAATCTAGAAGTCCGTGCTCAGGTATTCTGTGCTCGTAGCGCCGCTCAGCGTAGCGTAGCGCAGGTGAAATACAAAAATTTGCAAAAATTTTTTGATCATATAGACCAAGGTAGCTGCATACATCTGCTTTCCGCCTTTGAAATCGTGCTGTCGTTCCTAGGATGGTGACGGCATCGAAACACTAATGCTAGATAAGAGAGGGAGAGAGAGAGAGAGAGAGAGAGAGAGAGAGAGAGAAGAGTGAACCCAAAATTTCTTCTTCTTTATGTGTTTCACGTGTTCAATTATTTCACGTTATATAAAGATTTATTACACAGTACAACTCTGAATCTGGACATTGAAGGTCATTTATAAACCATAGGAAAGCTGTATAGCTATGAGGAAATTAGGGGATTTCCCTGGGTTCGGATAGTCGATTTAGCATCCAAATTTGCAATTAAAAAATACACGTTTTTAGTTACTTGTCTGGACAATTGATAAAAAGCGCGAGGGGTATTTACTATTTTACAAAATTTTAATTAAAACAATTTTTAGATTTTTTAGAATTAAAACTTTAGAGAATAGATAAACGTATTTTTATGGTTTTACAAAAAAGCAAGACAATTTGAGGTCTAGAGGAACATCATTCTGCTGGGAATGCGGGGCTGTTTCGCCGGGGCGCGCTGATATTTCGCTTTTGCGCAAAAGTTCTCGTCGGACTCGTCGAGGCAGTCGGCTTTGCCATCGCATAGCGCGATGGCGGGCACGCAGCGCTTGTTGTCGTGGCACTGGAATTGGCCCGGGGTGCAGATGCGGGGCGCTAAAGGTTTTGAGATGAATTTTATGTTTTTGGATCTGTTTTCGATCTTCATAACTTCATAACTCGGTATCTGCTTACCGCAATTCGCCTCATCGGCCCCGTTGTTGCAGTGGCTGACGCCGTCGCAGACGTAGAGACGGCTGATACACCTGGAAGACAATAAATCTTTCAAAACAATTTAAAGGGCCCACCCCAGGCCCCGGACGGGGCCCCCTTTGGACAAGAGGATAAAATTTGGGAAAATGCGGAGCGAATTGAATCTTGGGAGGGGGTGGGGAATTGACCGATATATCGCGGACGAAGTGATATGGTCGGTTGGGCGTTAAGCGTCAGTGGAGATGTACAATATTCTTAGGGTCCACGGACCGGTGGATTTTAATTTCATCGGCCGTTGGATGATAGTGCAAGCCCCTATTTTGAGTATTTTATACTTAAAACCCGTCGGTATGGCTTCCTTCATGGGGATGGACTTTCAGCCCGTGGTGCCCGTTGGGGGTTTTTGGGCCCCTGTCCTCTTTTATCCTGTGTGTGTGGTCTGCTCCGGGTTGCGCGTTTCAAGGAGGGAGTACTTGGGTTGTCGTAGTTCGGTGCGTTGGCCTGGGAGGTGAATTTAAAATATATGTGTTTTTGGTCGGACCCCCTTTGTTAGGATAATAGTGCACCGGAGTCGGGTGGCTATGGGGAGGAATACGTCATCCGAATCCGGGAATTATGCGCCAAGATTCTTGGAGAGATGGGAGGGTGAGCGCGAAGGCAACCTGTTAAAGATAATTAACAAAATTGGTCAAGACACCCACTTGGCATCACTTCCACCGCACTCGAAATTCCCTTCTGGACAATTGGACTGGCAGGTCTGCCCGTCGGCAAGCAGTCGGAACCCATCTCCGCACGCACAGCGGGTTGACACTAAAAAAGGGCTCTTGCTGCGTGTTTTCTACTATATTTTTCCTTTTCAGAAATGTAAGCACCCTTAAACGTTCACGAAAATGAAAAAATCTAGCGTTTCGGCGAAAGATTTTAAATTTTAATTTAATTTTTAGATTTTAAAGAAATTTTTATTTCTAAAGATTTTCTCAGTTTTTTAAAAAATGGTTTTCGCTTTAAATATGTCAAAAACACTACTAAAATCCTTTATCACATTACTATGTAGGCATTTCGGACTTTATAACACAAAAATTAGGTTATCGATTTTCTTAGCGAATAATGATTTTCGTGCGCGAAAATAGCGGTTATTCAACGATCAAATAGGCGAATTTTTGCGGTAAGTGAATTGTTTGTGACAACCGGAAAAGCCCCAAAAACGGCTGCTACCTGCTGGGAATGGTGGCAGAGATCCAGGTGCCGGGATCGGCGAAGTGCTATTGGCTGGCGGGCCAATCAAGCACAACTGCGAGCAGGCCTTTGTCGAGCAATCGGAGAGTACTGTAATCGGGAAGAAATTTGATTTTCTAGACTAGGTTTTTTTAATTTATAGAACTAGCTTCTAGATTTCTGCTAGCAACCCACCGACAGGCTGCAAGACCGGGTGGAAAACCTTGATGGAGTAGGGCAGGAGGGCCGTCTGCGCGAGCACCGTCATATTCTCGCCAGTGAGCTTGTTGGCGCGGAGGAGACCCCTGGAAAATGTAAATTTTTATTTAAACCTTTCCGCGACGATACGCTACCTGTACGTCCAATCGGTCCAGTAGAGGTAATCGTCGGCCAGCGCCATCCCAAAAACGTGCGGGACGGAGCCCGAGTCAGAAACAACGGTCCGTCGCCCAGAGCCGTCCAAGTTTGCCACCCTAAAAATCGAGGATACCCGAGAAAATTGGCACTTTAATTCACAAATTTGTAGTTTTGATAAAATTTACCGATGTTTCAATTATAAAAAATATAGGAAACTTTCAAAAATTCTTAAAATTCTTGAAATTTGTTGAAATTTTCGACGCAAAATCTAATTTTTGTATCGTTGGGTAAAAATTGATATTGCAAAAGAACTGGCTATTTCTCTGCACCGTTTTTCACTATTCCTAAACGTAAAAAATTTTGATGAAAAATACAAAAGATATCGATTTTTTCCGGCCAAAAATGGATGTTTTGGCCAAATTTTGGGTTTTTGAATATTTTTTAAAGTTTTTAGACAGTTTTCAGACCGAAATATATTGATATTTGACTAAAATTTCTATTACAATGCTTCCTAGTAAGTTAGTAAGCTTTTCGAGAGTTAGACAAAAAAATTCGATCCCCCGATACTGCGAAAGAACGTGTTTTTTATAAAATTTAGCGATGTTTAAACTGGAAAAACTCAACGAAAAATCTATATTTTTCTAGTTTGGATAAAAATTGATATTGCTAAAGAATCGATTAACCGACAGAATCAGTGCGAAGCCTCTAGTAACCAGAACTTACTCGATAGTGTCCAAAAACGCATCAGCCCAGTAGATCCTGTCCGCATGCACATCCACCACCAGCGCGTTTGGCCAGGTGATACGCTCGGTGACGATTTTCTTGAAAGAACTGCCTAAAAGCCACTTGATAACGTCAAAAAGTATTTAACCCACCGTCCATGGCAGCCACAGCAATGAACGCCGTTGACGACCAATCTGTCACGAAGATCAGCCTGGAATAAAAAGATAATTAGACTTTAAACTTCTAAAAAGCAAGATTTTTCAAAACTCACCCCCTAGCCGGGTGCAGCGCGATGGCACGGGGCTGCTGCAGTACAGAAGCGTACAATTTACGCCTGTAGCGCCCGTCGAGGGCCTGGACGATGATGTCGCGGCGGCGGACGGAATAAAGGTTCCGTCCGACCCAGTCGACGGCGATTCCCTCCATGCCTTCGACCTAAAGATGGTCGTTAAATAGATTTTTGATTTTCGGTAAAAGTTGCTTAAGGGGGGGAGGGTAATTTTGCCTTTTACCGCCTCGTTTTTCATATCAAATCATGCCATCGGATAGCGCATCGAAAATTATACAAAAGTTTGGCTTAATTTCCCCCTGAAAAAAGTTTTTCGGGCTGACAAGAAAAAGATAGCGTTTTTAAAATACCAGAATCGTAAGACGATAACACAAAATTAGTTTTAGCGCCCCCCCCCCCGTTAAGCAACCTTTACCGAATTTTATTCAGCAATAACATAAAGAATTTACTTTTTTAATAGTTACCTCATATTTCTGGACGGCCTGCGGGAAAGTGCCATCGATGTTCATGCGCTCAATGGTGTTGGCGCCGATGTCGGCGTAGTAGAGACGACGTTCCTGAACGAATAACGATTGTTTTTCTTATTTAGATATATGAAAAACTCATACAATTACTAAAAATATAACACTTACCACAATGTCCACATCAATCATGGCCGTCTTGTGCAACGCGGCCTTTTGCAGCTGGAACGAGCGGCCATCGGCGGAAATGTTCCACACCGATTGGCCGTGAGCAAAGAATAGCCAAAGCGGTTCTGAAAATTGTTTTTATGTATTTTTATATCATTAACTCTCATGGCCTGACACCCCTCAACTCAACTTTTTTGGGAGGGTGCTCGTTCCCTTGGCGCATTGCCGTTGGCGGTTCTGGTCCCACCATCATCATTCCGGAGACAGGTACGATTGTCTGAAGCCAGAGAATAGTGCGGCGGATCGCAGGAGCACAGAAAAGCCCCGGGAATGTTTGTGCAGTACTGAAAGGTTTTTTATATGAATTTTTATGAGTTAGAATTATGAGTATTGAAAATGCTTTTATGTTTTCCTTCATCTCTAACGTACCTGCGAGCACAGCGCCGAATCGTCCGCGCATTCGTCGATGTCTAAGATACGTTGCAAAAAGTCAGGATGAACCCCCCATACCTTTGCACTTCTTCTCGTCCTTGTCGTAGACGTACCCGGCCTCGCGGCAAGAACAGTTTTGGCCATTTGAATCACAGATTTCCAGCGCTGAAAAGGGGCGTTTTAACGTTTTTGGTTCTGGACTGTTAGCGGGGGGACCACTTTCTGTTTTGCCACCCACCTATACCTTCCTGTTGCTGATAAATGATGTATTTTTATAGTGTTTTTAGTTTTTAGTAGTTTTTGAATGCTAGAAAGTTATAAAAATGTTTTGAAAGACTTTGAAAATTCGAAAATTTTGATAATTTTTCATACATTTTTGAGCAAAATTCCAAAATTTGGTCCCCCCCGCTAACAGTCCAGAATCACTTTTTTTCCGGGATGCAAGCCTAAGAAAATTTGATTCCAACCTGGAGGAGCCGGGCGGCCGGCTGGTAAGATGAACTCGCAAGGTGAATTGGGGTCTCGGGTGCCGAGGGCGCTTATCAGCGATAGCGACAACTAGAAAAAAGGAGTTTACTAGCTAAAAATTACATAATTAAATAAGCTAAAAATTAACTAATACATTATCCAGTAATCTCCTATACCTTAACGGCCTCCTGACAATTCGTCCGCGGCGTTTCCATCAAGCATTCGGCTAGAGACTGATAGAGAGCACACTCCGAAGTTGGCGCCGCCATGAAAGGCCAGACTTTAAAAAAAGTTACTCAAGTCATTTTCAAATCCTCACCACTTTTGCCCGTTTTCTCAGTCTCCGCTACCGATTTTCCGTTTTTCCTGGCAAAGCACTCCTCCAACGCCCTGTCCTCTTCCAGTTGGCGCAGGCAGTCACTGAAAATTCCTTAGTTTTCTGCCCTTTACCTTACCGCTCCTCGTTCAACAAGTTGGCATACTTTTCCTCGCAAATCGTCGAGTACATTTGCTGCACACTTGGCGCGATGTTGCTTCTAAATTTAATTTTTGGCTTGGGTTATTGAAACTGTTAGCATACCGGCAGTTTTCCGCAACATCCCGCGTGCACTCCTTGTAACGACCGAATTCACCGCATAGGTCTGCAGCTCTGGAAACCATTTTTTCATAGAAAACAAAAATTCTTGTAGAGCAAACGGTTCTGGATTGTTAGCGGGGGATTTTAGCGGGGGGGGGGGGGGACCAAAATTTCCCTGTGATTCTCTACGGCCCTATAACAAAATCTAAACCATTTTTATTGTGTCACATAGGTTTTAAATTAAAAAACACCAAAAAAATAATAAAGATTTTCGAACATTTTGGACGTTTTGGTCAAAAATGTATGAAAAATTGACCGAAAAAGGTCAAAATTTTCCAGTTTTCAAAATTTTCAAAATATTTTTATGACTTTCTAGCAATGAAAAACTACTAAAAACACTATAAAAATAGATAATTATGATCAACCGGTATAGGTGGAAAACAGAAAGTGGTTTCCCCCCTGCTAAAATCCCCCCCCCCGCTAAAAGTCCAGAACTGAAAAACCAGACCCGAACCGTAGAATTTACTCTCCATTTGACACCTACCTGGACAGTGGTGGTAGAAGAGCGTTTGAGCCCGGATTGGCGAACTTGACCAGCGGGGCCAAGCAGTATAACGACAGCGCTTCCTCGAAGACACCGCAATGGATAGACCCTAAAAAAATCCCATTTCTAAATAATTGATTAAACGTACCATCATTGGCCTCAATGAGCACAGCGTTTGGCCCAGGACCCGGATCTTTCGAGTGGACATTTAGGGCAAAAAATAACAATAAAAATCCCACACCCAGCATTGGGGTTTGTTGTGAAGGAATGCCAACCATCCGTCAGGGGGCCCGGTGACTGGCGACGACGACGGCCGATTGGAGGGGGTACCCAGTGACCCCAACTGAACCTTCGAGCAAACACTGGTGTGGCCTCGGGCCCGCCTTAGGGCCCAAATCAGGTGAAGAGGTGCGCGAATCGCATTGTCGATCAGAAATAAGGGGCTTGAGGGGGAACTAGGCTCACAGCCAAGGGCACGGATACGGGTAGAATTTGTGGTTATGGACTGGAAAATTTTGAAAACCAAATTTTTCCCTGTGATTCTCTGCGGCCCTATAACAAAATATAAACCTTTTTTAGCACTTTACATAGTTTTCAGCTATAAAAACAATACACAAAAAAAGAATAAAAATCTTAGAAAAATTTGGACTTGTTGGTTAAAAATGTATGAAAAATGACCCAGACAGGTAAAAATTAAAAAGTTTTTTGTAACTTTTTAGCAATCAAAAACTACTAAAAACACTGTAAAAATAAATTATTTATCATCAACAGGTTACATAGTTTATATAGGGGAAAAACAGAAATCGGTCCCCCTCCGCTAAAACCCCTGGTATATAAAACTGAAAAATGGTGAATAAAAGTTAGTCTTAGTTACAAACACTTCGTTCTGCGTGCAGCTCGCTTTTATCGGGAGTTTTAAGCGGTTTAAAGTCTAGAAACTTATGGAACTTGTCGAAATCGACCAAATTTCCTCTTATTTTCGGTATTTCGGACGATGAAACATATATAAAACCGCCCCTTCAGCGTGAGTCGAAAAATGAAAGCCCTGTGCTTCTACTAAAGAAGACACTGTAATTAATATTTTTGAGTTGATTTCCTTGTCTACACCGTTCACTCAAAGCGCCATTCGACAAGCAAGTCCTCGCGCGGTACTTGGTGCTCTTGATCGTCCGGTGAACGGCTGGAGAACCGCAGGCCCTACTAGGTCGGCAAACAGTCATTAGGGCTGCTGTTTGCCCGGCCATCTCCGGCCAAAAGGGCCCACCGACGTCCACTACCTCCCAAATCGAGCGGACTGCTGATGAAGCGGCGATGCCGGCGAGAATCGAGAGCATAGGGGTCATAATCGGATGAGGAGGATTTATGAGGATATCTCGCTCTCGCTCTCTCTCTCTCTCTCTCACCCTCGCTCTCACTCTCACTCTCACTCTCACTCTGTCTCCCTCACTGTCTCTCGCTCTCTCGCGCTCTCACCTTCACTCTAAGTAGTATATAAAATGTCGTTCCTAGCGCAGCTTTTGGGACACTTTCATTTTCCTACCTTTTTTTACATGTTCCAAACCAGTTTATTGGATATCGACATCTGCCGATATAAAAAATGACCCGAAACTCGGAATTTTGCAAAAACCCCAAGTGTCCCAAATGTCCCAAGCACAAATTGAAGCGCACGGTTGGGACACTTTGCAAAACCATTTATGGAGACGCCTGGATTCGAACCAGGGACCCGTGAAACACCTGTGACAAGGGACAAAGTCCAACAGAGGGTGGGGGACGTTCATATGGGACGTAACTTCACTCAAAAAGTGAATAATCCCATACTAGTCAGGAACCCCAAACCTGACGGCCACCTGGTTTCGAACGCTCAGGCCTTAACTTTTCTCTGTCTTCACAGGCGACCGCTCTACCAACTGAGCTACGCCCCCAACTGGGACAGGAGCCCAGCGGGGGTAATAAACCTTTGGCCTGATAAGGGCAGAAAGTGAGTCACTAAATGCATGCAAGTCTCAAACCACTCAATAACGAGGAACTAATGGATTTAGTAGAAAAATTGGAAATCAAAAACTTTAGAGGGGTATTTATGAGAGATACACTTCCAAGCCAAGTAAACAAAACAGAAGTAGGCATCGTAAACCTAGATTCTTCAAACAACCCCGGAACGCATTGGGTCTGTTATTCAAAGACTGACACAAACATTTACTATTTCGATTCATTTGGCCAAGATCCACCGAAAGAAATTAAAGAATACTTGAAAGGCCAAATCAAATGCTCGACCTTCCAAGTACAAAAATTTGGTACACATCATTGTGGTTATTATTGTCTATTAGTCTTAAAGTTGTCAGAAAAATATAATTTTGCTCAGGCAGTCTTATCGTTAATGTGAACATTGCCAAAAGCCATCGTTTCTTGTGTGCCAGGCAAGATGTAACGTTTACTAGACTTGTTATCACTAGACAACGCTACTTTGTTTTGAATTTGAGTATGGATTTCGTGTTTTTGAGCTCGAAGGGTGACCTGTTTCTTCTTAATGAGTGTTTTATTAAACAAGACATCTTTATAGTCATCGACATGCAGCTCATTTTTTGCTACATTCTTTTTGATCCCCTTGATTTTCTTTACCTCTGTCTCATCTTGTAATTTGAAAGCGTATTGTTTAGGAGCCAAGGCAACAATTTCAATCATCATTTGACCATTCTGTTCATCTTTCATCTTGCCAATCTTCTTCTTGTTGACAGTGCCAAACAAGGGATGTTCTTTAGGATAGTCACTAAAATCAAAATCGTCCTTAAAGTCCTCAAGATCCTTGTAGACGTCTTCTGTACTAATCTCATAAATTAGACTATCAGTGTCTTGATAAACCAAAGCCAAACCACTACCATACCTAGACTGCATTTTGTTGTAATGGAAATCGTACATTAAAGTTTTACTCAGATCAAGAATGGCAAATCCAACATAGATTGGCTTATCCAAAACAATTTTAGTCTTTTCCATTTCTACAGCAGTCAACTCTTGGTTAAAGATTATACTACGCTTATAATTGGACTTGGAAGCCAACTTTTGAATCCTTTCACCATCCCACTCTAGTCTAACATCAACCCTTTCCCTCACATTTTCCATAGTCTTGCCAAATACTGAATTGTTCATTAGTTTGAAAAAATCTTTCTCAAAGTCGTTAGTTGCTTTAGTTCGTAACTGAGTGTTCAAGTCAATGTACACAGCCAACCATCTGCTTTCATTAAACCTCAAGACTCGATGAATCTCGCGAACCCTCAAGCCAAGCTCCAAACATTGAAGCAAATTCCTATAGTGAATTATATACCTCTCCTTGTCAAAGAGAGTGTTACATAGTTTCTTCTGTTTATTGAGGGATCCAACAACCTCCACATTTTCTGGGCAAAGTGGAAAATCGTTATGTTTTTCGTGCAACTCGGGAGGATATTCCAAGTCTACTTCAAAGATACAACCGGTTCCATTTGAAAAATAGTCAGTGATACATTGACTTGTTGGAGGAACAAATTCAAATCCACCAGTAGGAAGAGGTTGACTCATTGCCCAACCATACAAGTTGTTTGCATCAAGGTACAAGAGATATTTACTCACCTCTTCCTGGTTATAGTCGGCAAGGTATTTGTTATTAGCTTTGGAATATCTCTTGACGGCATTGACCACACCACCTCTTATTCCTTTCTCAATCATTAAATACATCTCCCGATCCTGGATAGTATCTAGCTTGACCCCAGTCTTTTTCAACATTGCATCCCAAGCCAAACCAGGAGAAGTGTAATACCAACAAGGGTCCAATTCATAAACCTCCAGACTCAGTCTTCTAAAGTTTTCAAAAATGTCAGCAAGGAGTAAGACATCATTTACCATGTAGATTCTAGTATAGTCGTCCATAGTTTTGCAACCCATCTGGTTCCAAACTTTTTGTGCATATGAATATGCCTCCTGAGTACAGTCTCTTCCATTCAGGTCGTCATAAAACAATTCTACAGATGGCAGACTTGTTTCCTGATATCGTTTGAAGGAATTCATGTATTCATAGGGGTAGATTCCTTTTCGCTTCATTAGCTTAAAAGTTTCCATGTCGCCATAATAGCCGGGGCTAATTTTAAAATCTGTCAAATTTTTGCTCAAGACATCTAAAGAAGCCGGAACAAAACCAAAGGAATCTAAAAATCTAATTTCGTAAAAATGGGGTAAACCGCGTCTATTAAACTTGTGATAACTAAAACTAATAAACTTTTCAGTGTTGCTAGAAATGTTTTTTGTATGAATATTCAAACCCCTTAGATACTTTGTACTCTCAGGATCACCAATGATCAAGTGAGAATCGTAGCCTTTGAGGTTATGGAAAAAGACTGGGATGAATTGGTTTTTTCGCTTCTTCAAGTTGCATTTTTCACACAAAGGACCACGGTATTCTCCAGTCCAATGGTCGTGATCGCGTACTTTGCTTCCAAATTCCAACTTACAATCAGGACAATGAGTACATTCAATATGTTTTCGTTCTTGCTCAAAAGTCAGCGGTTTCATCTCAATGTCTGGTAGATTCATTACCCGTTGTGTGACATCAATGATATATTTGTTAAACTCTAGTGCAGCATTAAAACCAATGTACGATCTCTCCTCAAAAATCTTTTGCTCAAATGAATCCACTACCACAACCGAAAAACCAGAAGCCACATGCTTGCCTACATTCTCCGTCCAAGAGAGATCAGGATTGTTATGGACCACAGCATACTTTTGAATGATGGACTCAAAATCTGCATAGACCACATAACGATGTTTTTGTGTCCTCTCAATATTCACAAACTCGATAACTTTTTTCTTTGCTAAACTGTGCTCAAGTGGTTTATTCCTACAACAATCTTCAAAATGTCTGTCAAACTTGGTCGTGTCGTAATAAGAAGAGTGACATCGAGGACAAAAGCGTTTTTGATGAGTGCCTTGTTTGTTGAACAATTTATCTAAATTTACAATCAGGCTAAAGTGGCTATTGTCGTCGACTTCGTGATAGAGTAGATTTACTACTCGTTTGGGGTCCAAACTATAGTTACGAGAACGAGAAGGTTGAAACCGTTCTACTTCCTTGCCAAGTTTGAATACATTGATCACCAAATCATTCTTCTTTTCAAACTTGGGGATATCAGTTAGTTTGAATGGAAATTCGAATTCCCTAAAATCTAGCTTGTTGACATGTGCTTCATACTTGGTTACTCTTTCTCTATCTCTTGTAGCAGGATAGAGA